GCGCCGAGCCAAAAAAGAAAATCTTAATGATCTCACAACTCATAGAAGTTTGGGAAAATAATGATTACATACCTCTTAAATTAATTTCATCCCTATTGTTTTTCATTCCTCTTTTCTCAACCCCACATTTTATTACAGGGTATCAAGACTATTAAATATAATCTTATTTACAATAATGCCAACTGATCTAGCAGACATCCAATGTAGTTAATATTTCCTGTATTGGTTGGTAGATTACTGATATAGCCAGAACATTACCATATTTAGAAGTAATAGTCATACACATACCTTTCTTTTATTTATTTATTTTTTGGGACAGAGTCTCACTTGTCGCCCTCCATAGAGCTGTGGCATCACAGCTCACAGCAACCTCAAACTCTTGGGCTCAAGTGACTTTCTTGTCTCAGCCCCTCGAGTAGCTGGGACTACAGGCACCTGCCACAACACCTAGCTATTTTTGGAGACGAGGTCTCACTCTGGCTCAGGGTAGTCTTGAACCTGTGAGCTCAAGCAATCCACCCACCTCAGCCTCCCAAGTGCTAGGATTACAGGCAAGAGCCACAGGGCCCAGCCCACATACCTTTTTTTTTTTAAATGTAAATAGCCTTAATGAAATTTTAAGTTCCCCAAATGTTGAAACTTTGAATCGTCTCTGCCATCCTGTTTGAAGTCAGTAGTATTTTTAAAAAATTATATTTTGAAACTAAAGTCTTATTACTTACAGAAGTGAGTTTATTTTTTGGAATAATAAGCAAGAGTGGAGTACACTGGGTCGGAATCAACATTTGCATTTTTACAAAAATTAAGATAATGCAACCAGCCCAAGGAGCCAACAAAGCTGGAAAGTGGTAGAGACAGATGAATCTAAGCTTTTCAACACCTTCCAGAGCAAGAGTGGGGCAAGAAGAGTATGGGTAGAGAGAGCTCCTAACATACGAGTTACTTTGGCCCCAAACTAGACAGCCAGCCTCTGGTCTCCTGGGGTTGCCCAGATTCACTGTTTCATGGAGTATGGGAAGAAACCCGGCTGGTAGCTTTGAGTTAAGCTGCAATCATCCACACACTCTATCTACAGTTTTTTGTACTTGGGGGCACCCCCTAGACCTGAAGCAAGGAAAAACATTGTTGGTTTAGGTTCAGCCGCTTGAGTGGGAAACTCAAAATACAGGGACCAATTCCTGTTTGCATAAATGCCTCTCTCCTCCAGCACCATCTGCCAAGCAGCAGACTGAAATCAGTACAGAGACGAGCCAGGTCACCACCACACATTTCCTAGCGTGAGCCCAACAAGAGTGACTAAGGTCACAGGCTCCGGAGACAGATGGACCCGTTCCCTTGTCCTGGCTCTCAGAACATTGGGCAGGATTCTTAACTTCTTTGGACAGTGGGGTCATCAATGAGTACTGCAGAGTTCTCACAAAACACACACACTGGGTATATAGTGCTTGGCACCTGGTAAATACGTAACGTATACTAGGCTTTATTATTTAAATCCTGAACCTCCTGACTATATGGTCACTGAGATCCAAAGTGAAAAATAAAAGGGGAGAAAAAAACCCATGACCTCTAGGAATCACCCATGGGAGGCCTCTGCCCTCTGAAAACAGAAAATGATTACATTCCAAATAGGTTTAGTAGCACCAAGCACTTTCTCAGAACACCATCAAAATGACAGGCAGCCTGAGGTGATGTAAAACTAACATTAAGATCTTTACTCTTCACATTTCCATTAGCTTACTTGCCAATTCTACCCTGCCCAGACTGTCACCTTTAATGGTTGGTGGGTGCTAAGGGACACCTCTGACCTTAGCCACTGCCCAGCAACTCTGCTTGCTCTTCGTGCTTCTTCCCTTAAAATCTTCTAGGTTACGATCTTTGCCCAAAGCTGCTGGAAGCCCAAGTCGTCATTCTTCACGCCTCTAATTTTCTTTGCATCAGTATCATTCTTTTTTTCTTTTTGAGACAGAGCCTCAAGCTGTCCCCCTGGGTAGAGTGCTGTGACATCACAGCTCACAGTAACCTCCAACTCCTGGGCTCAAGGGAGTCTCCTGCCTCTGCCTCCCAAGTAGCTGGGACTACAGGCACCCACAACAATGCCTGGCTATTTTTTGGTTGCAGCTGTCATTGTTGTTTGGCAGGCCCAGGCTGGATTGGAACCCACCAGCTCAGGTGTATGTGGCTGGTGCCCTAGCTGCTTGAGCCACAGGTGCTGAGCCATCATCAGTATCATTCTTGATGCCAGTATCACTTGTTTTAAAAAATATACCTTAGTCTCCTATTACCATTCCTCTTCTCAAAATTCAGTATCAATAAGGGAAAATGAGAATCATTCTATGAAAATGGTAATATTTAATAGACATATTTTCTCAGTATACATTCACAAAAGTCATTTAGGAATGTTCATATCAGTACTACTAAATTATGACAATTTATCAAAAACCCTTAATTACTTTCTAAAGTATGTTCCATGAACTCAATTAAAATACATACCACAGCAGTTTTTCAAAAAGCATTTTGTACATTTGTAATCATTTGTAAATTTTTGTAAAATTTCATAAAACTTGGAAAGGAAAGCATTCCATTCCAGATGATAAGCTCCAGGACAGCAGGGATGGTATTGGTCTTGCTCACTGTGCTCACTGTTAGGTGACAGCACCTATGCCGATGCCCGGCACATACAAGGCCTTCAAGAATTGTCAACCAATATGCCTCAGTCTTATTCTACAGGAAGTATTTCTGCATAAGATTCATAGAGACGTCCTCCAAAAATGAGCAAAGTGAATGAGTAAACCATTACTCTGAAACTAAAAGGAAAATGTGAATTCTTGGGTAGTAGTCAAAGCCCCTTTAGGGGGAATGCAACAGATCATTCTTGAATTTACACAAACTAGACAGGGAACAGTTGGGTGCCCCCCCAAATATGCCTAATTTTGGAAAAGCATAATATAAAAATATTTTTTAAAGGCATGATTTCATGTATGTATGAGACTAAAAAGCCAGCCTTCAAAATCAGAACCATCTGTGATGGCAGAGCCAGAATTGCAAAGAGCAGAGAGCCCTCCACAGAGGCCAGTGTTCACACCTGAATGCACTTCAGTGACCTACTTTAAAATGTACAAATGATGGGAGATTACAAGACCAAAGAAAACTCTAAGACAAATGTGTTAAGTTTTGCTGCAAATGGGTTGCTTACAGACGTGCCCAGGTTAACACAGCTTCTGTAGTATTTTCAGCTAAGAAGACTTAAAGAGGTTTAAGTCTACAGCTCAGGGCCAGCAACAGTAGAACTGACAAATGCCAAAGGCAAAAGAGAACTTCAGTTTTGCTTCTGTCTGCTCCTCTGAGAACACTCTGTAGGAAGGGAGCACTGACAGAGCACCTACAACGCAGTGGGCGGTGGGCTGAATGTTTTGTACTGGTTACACATTTAATCCACCGTAGACCATGAGGCAGAAACCCCTCTCTATTTTAGAAATGACAAGCCAGCTCAGAGGAGTTAACATGTCTGAATCGACACACTGAGAAGCAGAACCAGGACCCACATCCAAGTTTGACTTGAAAAGCCTTTCCACCAAACCACACATCCTTGCTGCACTGGAAGTATGTAAGTGAATGTTGGCAATTGGGAATATCTCTCGAGGAGATAAAGAAAACACTCAGCTGCTGAAAACTTACATTCAAGGTGCTTGGACAGGACCAGTATGGCAGCCTTTCAGGAATCACAGGTAACAGCATAGGGAAATGTCATGCTCATCTTTAAGAAGAACGTGTAAGACTGGACAGGGCACACTCAGACCACCAGCCAGGGGTCAAACCTGTCCTGCCTTTGTTTCTCCAAGATCCAGCCTCACACCTGATACTCACATGTGTCGAGCAGGCAACCCCACCTTTACACATCTGAGAGAGCTCTCTCCTAGATGCAGGAGTAACCTTAAACTGAATAGCCCCAGAGGAGGACATTCCCAATTACAAAGGCATATGCAAAAACGCAGACAGACTTCAGAGAGGAAAGGGAGAGTCCCCCATTCTCTTTTCTAGAAGCCATAGCTCTGACTCCTCCCAGGACTTCAAACTCTACATAACGCCCCTTATACTAGTCCTACCTCTCTCACGGGAGGCTGGGAACTAACCACCACTAACAGTGTTATGACAGGGAAATGCATTCCAGCTTCACATGACAACTTACAGATAACTGAACCAAATAACCACTAAATTGAAAACTACATACATCTGCATCATTTTCCCTCATCTCAATCATTTTTTTCCTAACAAGACAGTAATTTGTTTGTATCAAGCCCACTTGACGGTCACTTCTGAATTTTCTGACAATTCTAAATTAATGATGACCAAGTTAATGGCAGGCAAATTACCTTAAATTCAGACTTCCTAAAATTCCCTTACTTGATCAGTGCCAATAAATGCATTAAAAGTTCAAGTGTACAGACATTCTCTTTGTACAAATGGAAAGTCAGTGATTGTAAATAATGAAAAGGTAGTAATATTGATTGAAGTTTAGACTTTCCCTTCCTCTTATGTGGCAGACTCTGAGTAACCATGTAACCACAATTCAGAATTAACCTCCTATGGTTCTGAGGTATCTGTGAACAATCTGACATGATGGCTTCACTGTCCTGAGGACTACTGAGTGTGGAGAGGCAGCATCAGTGAACAGGAGAGCTGCTGCTACTAAAAATATTCCAAGAAAACATACACCCTAATGCACAGTACAAACCCGGTGCCACCACTGGTAGAAATAACACAAGTATATTTCTCATGCAAAGTGGGCCAAATGGTAAATATCTGCATAATACAAATAAGGTGCTGAAAATTAAGCCATCTTTGGGGGGGGTTACCACCCTGATTATGTACTTTCAATGGGGGTTAATACCACATGTTTAATTTGCAACTCTGTAAAGCCATGATGAAGACAGTACAGGAAATAAGATTTTGGTAGAAACCTGGGTATGTGGAAGCTTGCTATGAAAAAATGAAAACAGGAATGACAGAAATATATTTTCTTTTGGATACGAAAATGAAGGCTCAAAATAAGGTTTGTTGAAGTAGCTACTGACGTTAAAGTATTTTTCCTTTGCTTTGGTTAAAACAGCCTAGGAACAGCGATCAGTTCCCCTCCTACTAACAACATAAAAACACAGTGACAGGACTACTCTCAGGATAGAAGAAACAATTTTCAAGAAATTAAATTAATTTTAAGCTAAGTTAAACATTTTACCAATAAATAAATTTTTTTAAAAAAGGTAGCATCTTCATCCTACAATCTTGGGCATAACATTTACACCAATTTTAAAAATAAAATTCCTCCCACAATAGTAATTACAGGTGTTAATGCAACAAGCTATGAAATGAAATTACTTTTAATATATTTTTTAAAAATCGTAGCAACCAAAGATGAATTTTAAAAAGTTGACATTTTCTTCAATACTACATATTCTAAAGGAATTGACTAATACTTTATTACAGAACATAATTCAAACTATTATTGGCATTCAATATATTCTGAAAGAAATGGTTAAAAGAACATTTAGTACACCAAAACTGGAACAGAGTTCTGATTTACGGCTTTGAAAAGGCAATCAACTTCTATTTAAAATGGTAACCAGTGATGCAATATCCTTCAAAACAAACATTTGGCCTCACAATCTTTAATATCTGTTATAAACAGTCTGATGTTTGTTGCTGATGGAAGTTACTTTAATCCAATGTGCAAAAAAAAGTGCAGCTATCTGCTTGTACTTGGAATATGTAAGACCAACACTATTTACACGCTTAAATGATTTCAAATTTATTAATTTAAGTAAGCGGATTGTATCTCCTTTTTGGGTAAATCATGTTGCTGCAGAGAGCCCCAAAGCCTGACGACATTCTGTTAAGTTACCTGTTACACAAATGGATCTGAAGAAACATTACCTGTTCTTGTCCTAATTTTGATCCTAAACAAAAATCCAATTCCAAAAGCAATTAAGAATTACTTCAATCTATCAATCTTGGAATAGCTGCAGATGTAAAACCTTGTCTTTTCTACTCCTCTCACCACTGGTTCGCTCCACAAATCCCAGCTGGTGTAGAGCAGCCATGCCTAAGAAGAACCTAAGAACTCAGCCTCGAGACCACCAGCATCCTGGTGGGTTTGCTCAGCCTTCACGATGTGTGACTACAGCTTCTGGGGTAGGTACAGGCAATCAAAACGGATGAAGAAACCCTTCAGCAAAGCAACCACTATTTGTCCACCAAAAAACAGTGAAAAACAGCAATATAAAATTAACAAACCAAATATAAATCTAATACCATTCTGCATTTCCAGAACTTTTCATCTTTGCATGGTGTTCTCAGTCAACCACCCACTGATATTTTCAGTGTCTGAAGTACTTTAAGTTATTAAAACTGCTGTTTGACCGTAAGTCACATAGAATTGTGATGATTAGGAAATTAATTCACTTAATTATCACTCTGTGCAGTGCACTCACCAGTGAGTATAAGAGGAACCTAAAATGGAATAGATGTCTCTCACTTCTAACAGAGGAGTTCTCAAATTAAAATCATAAAAAAGTTGGGGGAGGGGAGCTTCCTGGCCACATGAATACTAGACACTAGATAGGACAGACTGTTTGGTCAGAACTTAGGAATATTATTTCCTGGAAAAGTTTTAAAACTACCTAAGCAAGCACTGTCTTCAGTCCAGTGAGTACAATGCTCCATACATCGCCACAAAAATATAGTAACTGCCGTTCATTCATTATGATCAATTGCGATCTGTCTCTGCTTCCCAGGCAGAGCGCCCGGTCCATCACCTCTAGCTACAGGCTATTGTTTCCAACTGCTGCTCAGCTTCTGCGGCCATGGCCGCGGCCTGCAACTGTTCTGTCTCGCTCTGGATGGCGCTGGGCGTGACTTGCTTCCTTTCACTGTGCATATTGTTCTCGTGCCTTTTCAGATCAGACGCCTTGGCAAAGGCCTTGGTGCAGGAGCCACACACAAAAGGCTTTTCCCCTCTGTGTCTTCTTTCGTGATCCTTGAGATGGGACTTGTGTTTGAAGGCTTTGTCACACATGTGGCACGCAAACGGTCTCTCATTACTGTGAACTCGCTCATGCTTCTTTAAGTCTGGGGCACGAATAAATGATTTTCCACACACCTCACAACTGTAGGGCTTATATCCCGTGTGGATTTTTAGGTGTTCTTTCAGGTGGGCCTGTGTGGTGAAACCTTTCGTACACATCTCACAAACAAATGGCCTGTCTGCCGTGTGGAGTTTTTCGTGCTTCCTCAATCGGCCTTCATCAGAAAATGTCTTACCACATGCCTGGCAGGCAATTTGCTCCCGGTGGTGACCGTAAAGCAAATACTCAAACTTCATGTCACTGGCAGCTGTTGTCCAGCCTGGTGTCTGTTCATCTTTCACTTCACTCATCCCATCATTAAATGTTAAGGCTTGAGGGGTCTGTGACCCCAAATCTTTTGATTCTGGGGTCTCCATGGATTCTACTTCCTGGCCATAGCAGTTGACTTTCCTAACTTCCTCACTGCCCAGCTCTTTCAAAATCGCTTCCTGAACCCTGAGTGTTGTTGTGGGTGACTTGCCGTCCTCCTGACTTGGGGGTGTGCCTTCTACCGTGTCATCAGAAGGACTGTCATCTTGATCCCCAATTTCTTCCACATCGTCATCCTGAGTGTCAGCAGCATCTCCAATGGGGCGATTTATTTTGAGGCAATACTTACTTTTTGACTGACCATTATTTTCATCAGGACTAGATACATCCCGCTTCTGAGAACAGAGTTTATCCAAAAATCGGATCCCAAGAATCTGACCCGATGACATCATCAAGTTAACATCTTCTTTTTTCACGGAAATCTTTGCCGTGTACATGTAGTTGAGGACCTCTTCAAATATATCAGAACGAAGAAAATCTATTTCTATTACTGAAGAACTATCAACTTCAAGCTTCTTGAAAAGCTTTTTAAAGTAGGTGCTGCAGGCAGCAAGAACACATCTGTGTGCTCTGAATTTCACATCTTCAACCACAATAGCAATATCACAAAATTCTCCTTCTAGGCGTTGTTCATTTAGTGTTTTCAGAAACAGAGTTTTATGATCATCGTCATTATATTTAATGGTTTCAGACATACTGATGAAAAACTCCTACAAAAAATTTTTTTAAAAAAGAAAGTTTAGTAATTACAAATAGTACTTTCCCATATAGAGAACAAAGCCAGATTTTCATTTTTCTGATTAATTTTTAGAACCTAAGAATTTTAGGAAGTCCATGTAAGAGTGTGCCTATAAATACGGTAGAAAGGACTGATCTCAACTTAGGGAATTCCACACGGTTACTTCTATTTCTTTTCAGTTTACTAAGTATTTGCCTAATTATAATAATAGCAACTTTCACTGAGCAGATAACACATGCTTTACATGCAGATAATACATGGTTTATAATCTTGATGTTCAAATAACCTTATGAGGTATATATCACCGTCCCTATTTTGTAGGCAAGGATAGAAACCTGTCCAATATTCTGTAGCTATTTAGTGGAAAGCTGACAGTCAAATACAATCTAGCCCCCCCAAACCCATGCTTCTTCCCAAGCAGAGGGAATAATGACAAATAACCCAGACTCAAGGTTTAAAAAACAGGTTTGAGTCAAGGATCCTCTAACCTGTATGTTGCCTCTTCTCTTAACTCCATGAATGGAGGACTCAGTAAAATAACTGTGCTCAGCGTTATACTTCCTTGATAGATGAGACAGATCATTACCACAACGAGCGAGAGACATCATTACCCTAACAATCCATTCAGTGTTGTTTTTTAATTTTTCCATAGCAGTTTCGGGCCACTTAGGAATGAAGGTCAAGGTTTAATCTGACACTGAGTGAATCAGATGACTTTTGGGAAGACAGTGATGAGGTGCTTAGTTCCCCCAGATACCAAAGCTACTGGCATCCAGATCAAAGTATCCTTAACATTGGATGTATTTGATAAAATGCTGCAAGTATTTTATAAACAAAAGTAAGTTAGAACTGGCATGAAAGATCCCTGTCATCTTTTCGAAAAAATGAGTTAAAATATTGTATTCAGCATGTTTTCTTTTTAAAAATATTTAGTTTTGTTCAACAAAGTAAAATTCTGAGGAAAATACACAATTTCCCCAGAGAAATAGAAGTATTAATGTGTAAAGAGAATTTATATATATATGTATGTGTGTGTGTTTGTATAAAATACATACATGTGTATGTGTCTGTATATGTGTATAAACATAAGTAAAAGCAAATGTCAAATCACTTCAAGATTTAATATCCAAAGTTATAGTTACCATGAACAACACAGGCTATTATCTTAGTGCCTCAAACGTCAAAATCTTCAGATCAGAGGAACTCTGATCAAAAGCACGCCAGATCTATAAGAAAAAGGACAAACAAGAATGAGGTAGGATATTGCTCTATCCCAAAACCCAAACCAAGGTTTTCAAGTATTGATTTTAAAAAATAAAACTTGCTTTTCTTGTTCTGTCTCCTGTGCATGTACCCATTTTCAGGTTGGGAGCAGAACAGTGCATAGCTGGCAATAAGCCCAGCTTTGAACAGGTAAGGGCTGGAGCACTAGAGCATGAAGGGGCTGTGCACCAGGAAATGAAAGGAGGGGTCAGAAAAACACTACGGGATTTCTCCTCACAAACACAGCCCACATCCACGTTTGTACAGATGCTGACGGCAACACACAAACAGAAAAAGCCAGTAAGTGCACCATGTCCTAGATCCCCCATTTCCTGCTGGGTAGGTAGGCGTCTACCATTTTTCTCTACGTTCAAACAGACATAAAGAAGTTTAAATTGTATAATACAGAAGTACACATATGCAAAATTATTGGGATGAGAGGAAAAAGTGGCTGCTTTTTTCTTTCTGTACCTGTGTGAGGTAGTCCCTGTTTGCCTTTAAAGATGGCATTTGAGGCTGGGGGCAATGGCTCTCGTCTGCAATCCCAGCACTTTGGAAGGCAGTGGCAGGAGGATCACTAGAGGCCAGGAGTAGACCTCAGCCTGGGCAATACTGTGAGTTCTTGTCTCCACAACAACTTTAAAAAATTAAAATATTATCTGGGTGTGATTGATTGCCCACACCTATAGTCCCAGCTGCTCTAGAAGCTGAGGTAGGAGGGTTACTTGAGCCCAGGAAGTTGAGGTTGTAGTGAGCTATGATTTGCACCACTTGAACTTCACCTGGGTGACACAGACTCTGCACTTGTGAAATCCAGGTGTTTTTATCTATCTCTACACGGAAGATTAAAGAATTTGGTTTTTTGGTCTGCAAAGAACTCTATCATGGAGACCAATAACCTTAAGAACATAAAAAGTCTCTTCTGCTTAACAGTGACCACACAAATAACCTGTTTGATTGGTAGGAGCGAAAGACTGGGCTGCGATACAGTCTTCTGCAAAAACTGTGGTACAAGGCTCCAACACAGAGACCAATTCTGAAAATCATAAAAACCTCCTTTTAGGGCGGCACCTGTGGCTCAAAGGAGTAGGGCGCTGGCCCCATATGCCAGAGGTGACTGGTTCCAACCCAGCCAAAAACTGCAAAGAAAAAAAAACAAAACTCCTTTTAGAAAACCATGAACATACTAAGGACTAGGGGGTTTTCATCTGCACAGTGTGAGGGTTGGGCAAAATTATTTCTAAGGATGCTTCTGACTTGATCATTCTAGTATCTCTGCTCCCTAGATACACCCTAAGGTGATCTCCAGAGAAGACAGCGGGGCAAAATCTTCCCACCATGCATGATTCGTCCTTCTGTGGTCAGAAACCCCCACCTGGGACTTGTGGATAAAAATGCAGGGGACCAGGGAGGAGTGGCCTTACAGTAGCCATGGCAACAGAGTATGCTTTTTAAATTCTTTTTTGGCCAGCATGTATTCCCACCTCCCTTCTCAAGATCTCTGGGGACCAGAAAAGAGATCGTGTGTCCATGGGCCCATTTTTTTTCCATTGAGATGTTCCAATTAGTAATTTCAGGTGAGTCAAACTGGAAGGCAGCCGCTGCCAGTATCTACGGAGGTAGGTGTAGGAAAAGATATGGTTCCAACCTCCACAATAAAGCTGCCCTTCCTAAATGCTCTGCAGACTGCTGGCGTGCGGAGCCGCCGTTACAGTGCAGGGAGCCCGGCTCCCTTCAAAGCCAAACTTATATAAGCGGCTGCAGCTACTTCCCCTACCCCGGAGCAGCCCGACAATGGCGGCTGCACCACTTCCCTGTTGCAACTTCGGAATCCAGGGGAAGCACAGAACCAAGCGCAAGACCCAAGGAACCTTCAAGGCGTGCCGAGCCCTAGCTCTCATTTCTTTCTGCCCAGGAGGTGACGGAGTGGATAAGGCCGTTTGTATTGCTTCCCAAACAAAAGCTCAGCCTCGGAGCCGGGTGGTGAAAGGGCCACTTTTCCTTTCATAATCGGACGTCTGGCGCAGGCCGGGGACCGCGGCTCCGAGAACAAGAAGAAGGG